TGACTTGAAAGGAATTCGGGGATTTATATATACATATTAATCAATTACAACCTTTGAACTGATTAAAGATCTAATAGCATCTTAGGTTTCTTTAATACATCCTCATCAATGGTATGACCCTTTGATCTTTTATTTAAAAATTCTGTGAATGATACTTCCTCTCTCTCTCTAACAGCTGAAGAAGGATCGAGGCTTCAAAAGCTTGTGTTTTCAAGTAAACCTGTTGAAGAAGGGTCCAGACCCGAAATGTCAGCCTTCCTGCTCCTCTGATGCTGCTTGGCTTGTGTGTTCATCCAGCTCTACACCTTGTCATCTCAGATTCTCCAGCATCGGCAGTTCCTACTGTCTCTGGACTATAACCTGCTGTCATGTGATTTCTGATCTTGTCTACCCCAACCCAACACCAGCACCTCCACATCATGGTTTCCAAAGGCATGAAGACCGTGTCCCTCAGAACACCCTGCAACAACTTACCCACCACAGATGTTAGACTCATTGGTCTATAATTGCCTGACTTTTCATTGCTACCTTTCTTGAGCAATAACATAACATTAGCCACTCTCCAGTCTTCTGGCACCTCACTTGTGAGCAAACATCAAACACATTCACACAACGAATGCATGGAAAAGCATCTCATGTTATTCAGGGGCATTTTTTTGAATATCATTGATAGACTTGAGAACATACCACATATATGTACACTTCAAATATCTCCTTTTTAAAAGAATTAAAGTAAAGGGACGAGGAAAAGATGCAAACAACTTTAAATGGAGCGAAAGAAAAATTGCATTTGGAAGTGCATTGAATAGTGAAATAATGAAATATACTTACAATATTCATGACAGAAAGAATATACTGCTCAATGTCTCTTCGTCCATGGTATCCAACCATCATCTTATCTGCTACTACTAGGGTTTCCACATAATGTTCTTGACTGACTGATCTTTTCAATTGTAGCTGGTTTTTCAGAGTCTTATTTGGTGAAAGAGTCACTGGTGAAGTCTGGAAATTCCTCAGCCATGGAGATCTTCCTTTCCCTGGTTTCTCATCTGGAACAGAACCACTGTAAGCATTCAAATGATGCCTCTTATGTGACGAGCAAGTACTAGGCTGAGTATGGGAAAGGAATCATTTCACAATTATGCATTGCCACTGCAGCGAGAATCATCAAAAATCTTATCAATTGCTCTTTGCCGGTCATTTGAAAATCTACTTCATGGGACATTGATAAAAAAAAACATTTGTAATCACAGCTCCATTCACAAAGAACAACAATACTGAGATGAAAAATCATCCATAATGCATAAGGCAATAAAAGATTCAGGAATTTAAAAAAAAACTTTGGCCTGTTTTCAGTTGTTGTGGCCATGACTTGTGATCTGCCTGTGTCTTTTTTACTACAGCAGGTAGCTTATGCTTTTAGCGCTGGCTTCTTGTGTACCTGAACGCGGCATTGACTGAAATAGGCCAAATGTTGTTGGCTGTCGGAGTGCTCAGCAGGGAGCCCAGCAGCATGGAACTGATGGCATATGGTGCAGCTCAACATACTTCTCCTAAAGGCAGCCCATCCATATTGAAGTGGAGCTGTTCTCAGTGGGAGGGATCTACGGCTCACTGCCAGCACAGACAGTGGCCGCATGCAGGAGCCGCACAAACAGAGGGCCGTGAAAAAGAGAGGGCTTTGAGGCTCATGGATGCACTGTTGGCGTCTTTAGTCATGGAGGTAAAAGAGAGATGTTGTACAGGGAGGGAGGGTGGAAAGGGTTTCTCCAAAGGTAATTGAAGCAAAATGTCCCAGAACAGTCAACATCTAGTCTTAAAGACCTGGCAGGAGTGCCACAAGAAGTCTAAAGACCACCGCTGCATCTTCAAAGGGCTGCATACCCAACTGTGCCACCAACCACTCACGGTTCTCAGACCCCCTTCACTTACCCATTAGCAATCCCAGCCACTCAAACACTCAGATACTCCATGTCAGCCTCATACACATTCCAATGGTGCCAAACCTGCAGCCAGGTTCCCATTGTTTCCGCAAATCTCCAGCTATTAAACCGTAGCAAGCACATTACCCAAACAGAGTGCCACACTATCAGTCACATGCTTCCCTCTCTCATTTGGGATCAGGTTGTCCATAACCACTTAGGCTTGGACAGAATCAGTGGGGTACCATTTTCTGAACCTGACAGAGGAGATGGTTGGCTGCATCATAGGCCAGCTGTAACAGAGCCAGTGGCATTGTCAATCAGTAAAGAACATTGAGGATGATTTTTTTTCTGTCACTCTCAATTCCAAGCTCACCTTCATTCTGTTTTATAACATGCAAGCTATTAATGGTGTAGTCACGGGCCTCTTGTTTTCCAACAGGTGCTAACCTTCCTCTTTCAAAATTCCTGCTTTCAGTTACCAGAGGACGGCAGCCTGTGCACCATAGCACAGTCAGCAAGGAGAGAATACAAACAACAACACAGCATTGAAGAAGAGGGCTCATCACTCGTTCTGGCATTGGCAGCCACTAGATCAGATATTGACACTGCATGTACCTTATGGGCTAATAAGGAGTTGGAATCTGCATGTGGCTTGTTACTGAGAAAAAGTGGGCTGCAACTAGACCAGAGGGAAAAGGATGGTTTGTTTGTCAGGTCACTGGAGGGTGAACTCTAATCCTAACCCTATCGGAGATTAATTCCACTAGAGCAAACTCTATGGAAGACATTGAAGGGAAGGGATATGTAGAGATCCTGAATGCATTTCTCACTCTGCCAGACAACCTCCTATCACAGTCCAGAAAAATGAAGTAGAATGGCTCCAATTTGGTACAATTTGGTAAATAGTAGAACATAGAACAGTACAGCACAGTACAGGCCCTTCAGCCCACAATGTTGTGCCGAATGTTTATCCTAAACCTAAGGTCTATCTAATCTCCACCCCTACCTTATACTATCATCCATATGCCTATCTAATAGCCGCTTAAATGCCCCTAATGAGGCCGGCTCCCCTACCCTCTCCGGCAATGCATTCCACGCCCCGACCACTCTCTCAGTAACGAACCTACCTCTGACGTCTCCCCTATATCTACCTCCACTCACTTTAAAACTATGCCCCCTCATAATAGCTACCTCCACCCTAGGAAAAATTCTCTGGCTGTCTACTCTATCTATACCTCTGATCATTTTGTACCTTTATCAAGTCACCTCTCATCCTTCGTCGTTCTAAAGAGAAAAGCCCTAGCTCTCTCAACCTTTCCTCGTAAGGCCTTCCCTCCATTCCAGGCAACATCCTGGTAAAGTACTATGTGGAGATTCCCCTTTCTTCTGCTCCAACCCTCTGCATTGTTATAACTTAGATACCATGCAGTGCTTCCCAAACATGTTTCCATTGTGACCCCATTTTCATGCTTGACATCCCAATGTTTTTACATATAAAGAACACCCTTTTGGATTTTGACAGGCCTTTACCACATAGCACTCGGGCCTCAAGATTCTGCTGGTTGAGCCAAACCCACTTTAAAAAGTGCCCTGGCAATTTAAAAGTGACAACGCCAACAGCGTAAGAGTCCCACAGCAACCATTGCTGTTCCAGAGCACACAAGCCCCCAGTTTAGAAAGCCCTGACCAAGAGGTGCTACAACTGCAGCGCCACATCTATTGCAATATTAGAGTAGAACAAATTGTCTAAGCAGCTCTGTCTACATAAAGTTAACAAAATGCAGCAACAAGCCAAATGCCACTTTGTCAAGTAGATCAGCTCAGCCAGGATATAGTGCAAGGTGGCACTGCTGAGGACAGACAGAGAGAGAGGGCAGAGGCAGAGAGAGAGCGCAAGCATGAGCAAAATAAGTAATGCATTACCTGAAACTCCACATGTTGCGTCAATTTGTTGACGTTGGTTTGGAAGTGAAGATCGTTTATAAACTACATGGGGGCTTCCTTCACTGTAATTGAATTCAGCCATTTTAACGGTGGTGAGGGGCTCTATGAAATATTCTTCTTCATCCTCAGCTATTACACCGTGCTGAAAGTAAAGCACTGCTGTGGTTATTACCAGCACAGGATCGACTATGAAAACTGTTACAAATACATTTTCATTAAAAGAAAATAAAAGCATTCCATTGTTCCTCAGCGGACACACATGTTTGAGGTCCAGCATCAGTTGATAAGAAATTTCATTTTGTCACACGTTTCAAAACCACACAGAAAAATATAATTAATAGCCATAACATTTAGGAGGTGAGAACTGAGGGATGAGACAGAGTGGCTAGGATTTGCAAAACAAACTCCTGTAAACATTACATTGGAGTATTTTCAAAGTGCCAATACACATATGTGTACTTGCAGAGTACACTAATGTAAAGCAATTCTAACTTCTAAGATTAAGAGAGCTCAGTTAGTATTTAGTCCAACACGTTTTACTCTAACCACAATATTTTGAAAACAGAATGGTTTCAACATGTTAAAAGATGCACAGTTACAAGAATCTACTTGTAAATACTTAGTCAATTTAAGGTTTTCTGGAATAGAAGGAACAACAATAGAACACAGTAATTTTCCCAAAATAGTTAAAACTGTCTTAAAAATGGGCTTATTGCAAATGTTGTCATTCTTGGATCTTCCCACTCCTTCAAATTAACCTGATGACTGGGCAGGAACATTTACTTTTCTCCATAATTGTAGGTAAGTGTACAACTTCATAAATAGCAGAACAACCAAGGTACCCAGCTGCTAAATTATTTAATAAACAGACTGTCGCATAAACAGGTATTTATATCCTCTTCAAAATATGGATATACAGAATAAAAAGAAAATTGGTGATTTACATTTAATTGTGGTTGCTGTGTTTTTTTGTGGCTCTTTTCATTCTTGAGATGTGAGCGTCCCTGGCCAGCATTTATTGCCTATCCCTAGTAGTCTTGAGGCTGAGAGGCTTGCTAGGTCATTTCAGAGGGCAGTAAATAGTCAACTACATTGCTTTGAATATGGAGTAACATTTAAGTCAGGCTAGGTAAGGATGACAGATTTAATTCCCTAAAAGGACATTAGTAATTAGATGGTTTTCCATGGCAATCAACAATCGATATATGGTCACCATTAGACTTATTTCCAGTGTTTACTGGATGGAGGGTTGGAAGGTTGGAGTGGTGGGGGCGGTGGGAGGAATGATGCCAAAACGAACTCCTGTTATTATGATGTAAAGGAGTTTCCTCACTATTCATCACTCATTTATATTACAGTGAAGAGACTTATGATAATTAAACTCAATCATCAGTAGTAGTCCCATCTTTTGCTGGTTACACAAGTGTATCAAAATCAATGCAGCTTTGAAATATGCATGTCAATTGTGAAATATGACCAAGATATGAGCAATCAGGAACAGAACCAAGTCTTTGGTTGTACTGAAACAAGCTATCTCTACTGACAGGTTAATATCATTCTAATTGAGATACGCAAAACACTTCTTTAATTGGACAGCACTGCTTCTAAGTTATTATATTTATTAATGGGACTCTGCAATTACAACTTGTCAGTTATGAAGATAATTTACAAATGAAGTGTCCTTTGGCCTGATGTTACTGAGCTTGAAGACATGTCTATAGGTGGTATTTTGATATATTCTTCCCTTAGATTAGTTGTCTACATGATAGATATAAAGAAAATATAATACAATTTAAATTTAGTCAATATTGGCCTGCATATTGCTCCTAGAATGATGGCAAAACTATCAGCATTTGTTGTCCTGAGAACTTTGAAACCAACAGCAACATCTGATGCCCACAAATGCACAATTAAACACAGAAGTCTAGAAGATCTATCCTTTCTCCAAATGTTGGACTGTAGAAGTCCTCACAGAGTACAATCCTTGGAATTAGCTGAATGGATGAAAAATTCCTGTTTTTGTCTCTAGAAGTGGCTGAAAACTCCTGAAAAAGTTATGACCTACTACTTAGCTGTAACTGGGCTTTCAACAGCATATTAAGTCATAGATACTGCTGAAGAATCTCTCTGGCCCTGGAAAAAAATGATATTTCTTAAACATCAAATGTTTCCATTATGGTAAAATAAATCCATAACATTAATATATAAAATATATATATTTTAAATTTGATATTTCTACTCCTAATATTATATTCACTGCATGTAGAATTTATAAAATGTTGTTAGTAAATGTTATTTAAAGGAATTCCTGCATTTAATTTCTGGTTTCTGATCTGAGAATACTTCAATATGATTGGTGATTGACTTGCTTGATGACATCCCGGATGCTGGATGCCTGGGCACTGCCTTTGCTTGGCAGTAGATTCAAATTAATATCAGGAAAGTGAAATACACACTATAGCAACTGTATTTAAAGTCAAAAGTGAGCATCATCACAGAATCAAAGGATTGTTATAGCACAGAAGGAGGCCATGCAGCTCATTGTATCTACACCAGCTCTTTAAACAAGCATCATTACCTACTGCCATTCTCCTGCTTTTTCCCCAATGCACCTGCAACTATTTTTATCCCAGCCCCCTTAAATACCTTAACTGAATGTACCTCTACGACAGCTTCAAGCAGTACATTTCATACCCTAACTATTTGCTGTGTGAATATTTTCATTGGCTCATATCACACTTACTTCTTTTGCACATCACTTTAAATCCATGCCCTACGGTTCTCAATTCTTTTAAGAGCGGCAACAGATTTTCCAAATCCACTCTATCCAGCCTGCTCATGTTTTTGAAATCTTCTGCCAAATCTCCTTTCACCACTTCCCTGCTAACTGCAAAATCCGCACCATTACTTTAAATGATGAAGAAGGGTCACCGACCTCAAACTCTCTTTTCCCTCCACAGATTTGGCCAGACCTGCTGAGTTTCTCCAGCAATTTGTGTTTTTGCAAGAAATCATTCATGAAATTAACACTTATGTTTATCTGATTATTTGCAGAAACTGAAGTTTAATCAAATCATTTCTTGTGGGTAATGGGAAAATTGATTAAGGAGCCACAAGATAGAAACTAGTGTGAGATAGCAGGGATATTATCATGCTAAAGACTGCCCAGAAAATGCGGGGTAGCACGGTGGCTCAGTGGTTAGCACTGCTGCCTCACAGCACCAGGGACCCGGGTTTGATTCCACCTTCGGGTGACTGCCTGTGTGGAGTTTGCAAATTCTTCCCCATATCTGCGTGGGTTTCTTCCCACAGTCCAAAGATGCGCAGGTTAGGTGGATTGGCCATGCTAAATTGCCTATAGTGTTCAGGGATGTGTAGATTAGGTGGGCTATCGGGGGATGGGTTTGGCGGGTGCTCTGAGAATTGGTATGGGCTTGTTGGGCCAAAGGGCCTGTTTCCACACTGTAGGGATTCTATGATTAACTATCTCAGAGAGAAGACACCTTGACAGAAAAACAGCAGAATCCTGCCACATACAGTCGTTTCAGGCAAAGAAATTGAGCTTTATTTACACGTGCAAGATTCTATCTTTCCTCACAGAGGCTCAGCCACTGCTATGACTGAAAAGACTAAAATCTATCAATTATTGGAGTACTGTTGTGAATGTATTACAAGAGACCACTGGGTCTGAAATGAACTGAACTGAGAATTTTCAGGCCTGTAAGGCTACTGATGCCCTTCTCGGCAAAACGGAAAAACAGTGAAATCTGGGCCTTTAAATAATCTAAGTACACTTAGAAATCACTTATTTTGTGCATGTGTGTGATTGCGCCGATATCTTGTGAGGATGATGAATGGGTTTGTGATTACATTTGGGTGTTGTGCAAATAAACATTTATCCTTTCGACTGAACCTACAAGGAAGCTTGTTTATGTCTGTTCTTTCAAGCTACAGCACTCAAGGGATTAAAGCAGTTCTTCTCTAAAACACGTCTCATTGCAGTCAGTCAATAGGTGGAAAAGAGAGAAACTCATCTCACATTTCTCCTCTGTCTTTAACAAATGTCATATGTGAGTCATGTTATCACTTCATGAGAAAAAGATGATAATTTTTAAGTAAACAGGTTCTTCTTTAATTATATTCATACCCATGTTTGGTCTGCATATTTGAACAGACCAAGCTACTATTACAGCACAATATGGTACAATTACAGCATGGTGGCTCAGTGGTTAGCACTGCTGCCTCACAGCACCAGTAACCAGGTTCAATCCCACCCTCGGGCGACTGTCTATGTGGAGTTTGCACATTCTCCCAGTGTCTGCGTGGGTTTCCTTCAGATGCTCTGATTTCCTCCCACAGTCCAAAGATGTGCAGGCTAGGTAGATTGGCCAAGCTAAATTGTCTGTAGTGTTCAGGGATGTGTAGATTAGGTGGGTTACAGGGGGATGGGTCTGGGTGGGATGTTCTGAGGTTCAGTGTGGACATGTGGGGCCAAAGGGCCTGTTTCCACACTTCAGAGATTCTCTAAAAACAAATTCACAAATTATGTATAAGGGAAATCAGGTGGAACTTTACCTTGAATGGGTAGCCAAAACTGTGAATAAAGCTAACAAGGAAGATTTTTGGTACTAATCAACTTTGGAAAAAAACATAAATAATTTGAAATGCATTGAAATATAATTAACATTATATATGTAAATGAATAAATACTGGATATGAAGTTGAATAAGACTGCTTCCATTATTAATGTAGAAATACTCAATATTTTCATATGAAATTCCTCTTTCTTTAAAATATTAGTCAAATTATTTTAAATGAGTTAATGTCCCTTTTGGTATTGACTAATGGGTTAAAGTAGCAAATAAAATATAGTTTGGATCACTTATGTATGGTCTCAAGAGGGACAGAAGTGAACAGCTGTTGAAGAAACCACCATGGTTGTAACAGATGTTGCTTGTGCTATGATAAGCAGTGAAGCAATTGTTGAAGCAGGTTGTACCTAGTTGAGTTTGCAAAACATCCCTTGAAAAGGGCAGAGCCCTCACTGATTAACCCATTGTAAAGTGAACATAAAATAACATCACCTGCAGAACAAGAATACAGGAAGGAGACATTTATTTGTTGTACGCAATTTTGAGACCATTGGAGAAGAAAAGGACCAAGTCACTATTAGGAGCAGGAAAGTTGATGGTTCGGGTCGGGACCCTTCTAAAGAAGGCTCCTGACCCGAAACATCAACTTTCCTGCTCCTCTGACGCTGCCTGGCCTGCTGTGTTCCTCTGTGTTATCTCTGACTCCAGCATCTGCAGTTCTTGCTATCTCTAATTCATTATTACGACAATGAAGACAAGAATCCGTTATTTACTTAGTTGTGGCCACACCGCCAAGGTTCACTCTCCTGATTAACAGTTTATAGTACCTGGAAACAAAAACAGTACTCCACCTTAGTTTGGTCAAAGTGGAACATTGTGCTTAAATTGCCCAATAACTAAACAAGACATGTTTAAAAAAAAAATCAGGTTTATTTCTCCAAATGCTAAGCTGCATATATGCCACTTTATGCAATACAAATGAAGCTTATGCTGTTGATAAAATGTATGATTCAGTCTGTAACAGAGAAATTGATAACTTACCAATCCATTACAGTTACTTAAAGCAACTTTTGTGACTCCCTGGAGATCACTTAAATGTCCCAAATAATGACATTCATCCATATAATCATGCCTCCATTCCACGCCATCTCTTTTCCAATATTCTACAGTAAAATAATCTGATACCAGATTAATGTGTAAAGTCAAGTTTAAAAGGAAGTGCAATCCATGTGAAGATACTTTGTAATAAACTTGCTGCTCAACTGGCTCATGTTGAAACGCAGGTAAGCTTCTCTTTGATCGCAGTTCATGGCTACTTTTTACATTATAGCTTAGGAAATCTCCATTGTGGTCAACTCGGACAGGAATTGCTATTTCATAGTGTTCAAGAGTTGACAGGAATTCTTCTGTGTTAAAAGAAAAGTTTTATTTTGTTATTCATTTACAGATTTTGCTGCTTAATCCTAACCCTTAATTACAAGTCATTTTTTTTCTGAGATAACAAGGTGTGGAGCTGGAGGAACACAGCAGGCCAGGCAGCATCAGAGGAGCAGGAAAGCTGGCGTTTTGGGTCTGGACCCTTCTTCAGAAATGGGGGAGGGGAAGGGGGCTCTGAAACAAATAGAGAGAGGGGTGGTGATGGAAGGTGGATAGTGGAGCAGATAGGTGGGACCAACCCCCATCCCAACTTCCTACCTACACTCACCTTTACTAGCTTCAACTCCACCTCCTTGACCTGTCCGTCTTCTCTTCCACCTATCAGCTTTCCTGCTCCTCTGATGCTGCCTGGCCTGCTGTGTTCCTCTAGCTCCACACCTTGTTATCTCAGACTCCAGCATCGGCAGTTCCTACTATCTCATTTATTTTCTGTTTTTTTTTCCCTGAATCCTCCCCAATTATATAATTTTGTGCCTTTACAATACTCTTTAAATTGAAACGAGGAGATTATATGCACCATTACTCAAAATCACTTCAATGCAACTTCACAACTGTTGACTAGCAGACTGTAAGTTTTTGCAGACCAGAAACAGATCTCTTAGTTATATCTTTCCTTGTGGAAACCTTTTCATTTTGTAACTGCATCTTAAAAAGAGTAAAGCTTTCTCACAAATACAGAAGTCAAGAGCTCGGTCAGTCAGAGCCTGGTTTAAACTTTGCCGTCTTTAAGAAAAGTTCAGCTCTCTACTATTGTGCACTGACATACCATGTTGTGGTCAATTTCTTAACCAAATAGGGGGCAGTGTGAAGATGCTTTGTAATAAACTTGCCGCTCAACTGGCTCATGTTGAAACGCAAGTCACTACCACTGGGGATGTCAGTATGAGCTTAAGACAGGGAAATAGTTAGCAAAAAAATGCCGATTTTAATTTGCCAAGTTGCATGTATTTGTTCAGGACACAACATGGGAATTCAAGAATGGTGTAGTATTGAACTTATACAAAATTCATTTCCTTGAATGTTCTACGGATAGATTTTGAAGTCCCCAGATCAATCTATTCCGTATTTACAAGTGAACAAAGATTAGATTTACAGATATATTTCTACCAGTAAAGGGACACAATACTGCTCACTTTTCCACAAAGACCATGATTTTGAGGAGCAGGATATCAGTTGGCACTATTGATAATTGAAAAATTAGAAGAAATATATACCTCAGATCGGAAAGGCATTTTTCAAAAGCTTTAAATTGGAAGTTTTTGCATGGAAACTTCTTTCAAGTGAAGGATATGATGAATTCACAGGCAAGCGACGTGAACTGTTTCAACAAGAGTCATTACTTTGTAAAAGGATTTTTTAAAAAGCAAAACATACTGGCAATTCAACACAGTACAACTAAATATTACCATGACTTTCAGCTGTGGTGAAGGTATTCCCAGCAATAAAGATGAACAGGTTTCCTTGGAGGGAAGCTATTGGTTTGAAACAATTGCCTATGGCTGTGCTCAAGTTAAGTCAGAGGTTACTTTGTAAAACAGATCATTGAATATTAAAATACATACTGCATGTCATCAAAAACATCTGGTGCACAGCTAGTTAGCGAATTATCAAAAGCATAATTTACCCAAAAGGTTCAAAATTGCAGGCAACATTTTCCCGAGACACAATCATGGGGAAAGCTTCATGAAGCAGTAGGTTGAACAGAAACCTGCAAGCCTCCTGTGCATAATTTACTTAAATTAAATGTTGCTAGATGGGCACCTGTATTTTTTTGCCTGGTGCAACAGTCTAGAACATTTGACTCCACGTGTAGCCTTTTACAGCCACCACAAAATTAGTTACTAATAAAAAGTTCAATATTCAAAGTAACCTGCAGGCAAGGGAAGCCAAAGTGAGCAAAGGTAAGAGCTCCAGTCTCCAAATGCACCCAGTTAGTTGTATCATGTGGGTCGACAGGGTTTGGAATGAGCTATTCTAACAAGCCAATTGTTTCTAATAGGAGGTTGCATGCCAAGTTAATGCCCTGTCCATTTAGAGAGGGTGTTTCTTACAAATCAACCCAAAGCAAGATCTGCTGCACGCACAAAGTTGACTGCCTGACAAGGAAGTCTAAAACCAGGACTCACTATCTCGGAACAAAGGTTCGGCCATTTGGAAATATGACAGGAGAAAATTTCTTCACCCAACCAGGTTGAGGCACTTTGTGCCATGATGATGTGGTGAGGATGGTACGTGTTTGATGCCAATGTCTATGGTCATGGGGTGCACGCAGCTCCTGCCCATGGAGTATGCCTTGGGCCATTGGTGCCGGGTGTCCAAGATTGTGGCAAGCTGGAGTCACAAGATACCCACTCTGACTTTTATGCCAGGTGTTTTGGGGCACCTAGTTTCTACCTGTTGGTGCAGAGAATGGGAGATTATATACCAGTGAGGTGAGATTGTGTAATTACGAGGGTGATAATGGGTGATAATTGATACTAATATGCCTCTCTCCTCCACCAGCAGGAACCTTGTTTCAACTTCCAAGGCTTGGTAAAACGGCTTTCTGAAGTCACATTAAGAAGGGCCTGACTTGATATCCGATTTTCCCAAATTTTGCACCAAGGCCCACATTGTTCAGGGGCTAGGAAGATTTTATCCAAAGAAAAACAGGGAATATGGGGATAGGGTGGGAGCATGCAGCCAAGGTAGAATGACTGCTGTATTCACCTTCAATGAATTAGCAAGTTTAAGGGATCAAATGGCTTACTTCCAATTTTTTTTTAATGTTCTTATATCATGAAGTTGTCTCATATGTTCCTAGGTAAGGAAGAAAGAGAAAGGGAGAGAGAGGAGTGGGGGGGGAAAGCCAAAAACAAAATCAAAAGCAGAATACTACAGATGCTCGAAATCTGAAATAAAATATGCTGGAATTCCTCAGTAGGTCTGTGGTGAAAGAAACAATGTTTCAGGTCAATGATCTTTAATTCTGACAGAAGCTTATCAATGTGAAACATTAGCTCTGTTTTTCCCCCTGTGCATGCTGTTCAACCTGTTACAAAAATCAGTCTAGAAAATACCTTTAAAATAAAATGCTTTCCAGACCAGGGCACAGTGTATCTTTGCTGGATTCACAAAAAGCTGCTAACTAAAAACACATTTCAACTAATCATTCGTTTACATTTGCATTAAGTGACTTGATTTCACTGCCATGTTTCTTTCAGCAAATCCTGATTTGTAAACAAATGTATTAAAAATGAGCTGGCACATTCTTTGAGTAGAGATGATTTAGGGACCATGATAAAATTAAAAAGACTTAATAATAAGCTGAATCTTTGAGAAAAAAAATGTTTCAATTCTAACACGACTTTGTTGCTTAACCCCAGCCCATTTCATGTTTGTGAACATATCACTGCCCTTTCCTTTTTCAAAAAATAAGTTGTAATTGTTGGTGATGTGGTTTTGATTATGGCTCAGCCATAATGTTATAGTTTGGGATAATCTTGCCAAACTTTTACATCCTTTTTAGGCCGATGAGTTTGATTGTGAGATTGGCCGAGGACACAGTGGCTTTCACCTGCCTCAGATACCTGTTCACCATGTCCACCTGATAACTTCAGCAACACTAATGTTGAGGCTTTAAGTTGCATTATTCATGACTTTGCTGAGTAAGATTGGCAACACCACCATTGTATACCAGGGCATACGCCCTGGCTCCAGTCTGACAGAATTAATCAGCCAATGATAAATGTCTATGGTGTTGCTCAAATCCAAAAGGCACAACTTAAGTCCTCTATCTTTGCCATTGTAACAAAAGCAGAGCTTGATTGGTCCCTGTTCTTAAGACTAGAGTCAAGATACTCAATGGCTCTCAGGCTTTCATGCAACACTTTTGTGCCAAGCACAGAACACACAGGAACATTTAGATCAAATGCAAAATATTGTTGGAATTTATTTCAAGTTGATGACCCTTGTCACAACTTTCAGCTCATTTTGTTTCTAATAATCAGCACAGAACCATGTCATTTTGCATGCGTGATCAACACTGAGTCACATATGTGCTCTGTGATAAGTTATATCCTTGTTAGATTAAAAACATACCACTAATGTGGAAAGCAGTTTTGGAGACACATCTTAGTAACCTGTCAGCTTCTTCACCACCAACAATGCTTCTGGTACAATCCTTCTTTGACAACTTGGATTTAGTCATTACTATGGTCCTGTTCTTCTTTCACTATTTTCTTATGTTTTTCTTCATCACCTTCACAATGTTCAGTGTATAATCCCTCACTATTGAAATATAGAGCTTGGAAATTGAAGCAGGATTAAGCCTGGTCTGCCATTCAATATCATCATGGCTGTCATCCAATTTGATACCCTTCGCATGCTTTCTCTCCATCCCCTTTGATCCCATCAGCCCTAAGAACTATTTCTAACTCATTATTGAAAACATTCAATATTTCTTTCTTAACTGCTTTTTGTGACAAGGAATCCCACAGGCTCACCACTCTCTGGCTGAAAACATTTCTCCTCATTTTGGTCCTAAATGACCAACCTCACGAACTGTGATCGAGTAACTGTAGAGAGTAGAAGTTTCCTTCTTTACTCTAAAATACCATTTGCATGATCTTTTCACATCATTCACATTTCTCATGTTTTGGTGGAGCCTTCAATCGATTCTGAAACTCTTCTCCCTTTTCTACTATGCGTTATTTGCTGAATACGACATATACCTCGAACATTAGTTGATCTTGTTTAAAATCAACCCCTGACTGCTGGACAAAATTCATATACCTCAATTCATTATTGGTTAAAATGGAACTTGTGAATGCCAACTCAGTGCAATTCCCCCTGAACCAAGGCTCAGGCGAAGGGCTGGAAGCTGTCAGCATGATATGGTTCAGACCTTCCATTTCAGTCCCTTTTCTCCTCACCCCTAAACAGCACTGAAACTGCAAGAGCAACCAATGTGACTGCTTCCTCTCCCAGG